CAGGCTTGCGGACAAGCATGGTGTCATCGTCGCAACAATAAAAACAAGAACAAGAACAGAGGACGAATGAATTGGGATATAGAATAGAGTGAAAAGAAGGCGAAACTGTTAAAATAGAAAATTGTAGACAAGTGGGATAACAAATTTGAATTGCACCGTACACTTTGGAATAGTTTTGTGTTGAATTATCGTTTTTCTATGAAGCACGGGACTTTAACGGGCAGACCGTACGCATTCGCACCAATGACAGAGACAAACAACGATAAACAGTTCAGTTTTTACAACCATTAGCCGCGAACTACAAGCAGGATTCCGACCAGGTCGCGGTTATATCGACCAAATCTTCACCCTGCGTTAAGCCCCCGAGCCATTCCGTCAACCAACGATTATCTGTTCCTTGACCTAATGGGAGCCTTCGACTCAGTTGACCGCGAATCCCTTGTGTGTTTGCTTATTCGCATAGGAATGCCGCAGAAGTGTATAGAAGTACTGTGGTCACTCTACTCGCATACTCCTGGTAGCGTAAGGGTTTACGGCGAGATGAGTAAGTCATTCGTAACTGGTAGCGGGATTCGTCAAGAGTGCCCTATTTCGCCATTCCTATTCCATTTCATCGTAGACGAAATATTGGAGAAAGCATCAAGTGGTCTGTAAAATGTTGGTATTGAATGTCCTGTTTCAGTTCAGTTATTACAATCATTAACCATGCACTATCGTGCGTCGGTTTTGGTTGCTGTCTTTTGGCAACCAAAACCAATCAAATAATAATGAGTAGATGAGTGATTACCACTGTTTGCGACACCCAGCCATATCTCTCAGTGTCTTTAACCATCGGTGACTATGATCTTGGAATTCCCATACATTGAGTCTAACGCAACCTACATGATCGAGTCTCATAGTTACCATTCTCATGCTCTCATGCCAGGTCTTGGCTCGACCACCCTTTACCTTTCCCAACGATTCCAGTCAAAAGACAACTGCGAGACAGAGGGAGCGTTTATTGGAAGCACCAGAAAGGTACGTTAACTAACGAAGAACAATCCTCTATTTCTAGGGTTGCGCATGGTCTAAATTTTCGATGAATGAAAAATACGAGAGCACTGGTAGAGCGGACCAAACAGATTACAATATTATGTTCGTTACCCTGGATCCCACGAATGCAGTAACATTGAGAACACAATTTCCCACAGAGGCGATTGGTACCAATCCAATTCCGATTGACAACGTGGGAAGTCCTAGGGGAAAACTAGGTCCCCCTTGATAAATACGTTCAAAAGTGGTCGCGTCAATGATTTTTCCTAGCTTTAAGCAGTTTGATAATGCACCCTCTACATGCGTGGTTCGATAGTTTTTCGTTATTTTGGCGAATTTTGATCGATCACTCGGTACGGTATCTCGTTTATCTATGTAATCGGTCTGATGTGGAGGCACAATCCCAGCTACTTTATCCGATTTGGATATTACGATTTAATTGTTCTCCCGTCGGTTTCTTAGTCGTTTGAGATGTTAAGACGTCAACAGGTCATTTGTATTCAATTTCATACCCCCGAAAGTTGGTGATATGCATTAACTAAGGTTGATTTTAGTTCTTTCGCTTACGATAACGAAGATGAAACCAGGAAAGAATGTTTTGCATATCGATTGTCAAATGCCATCTCAGGATAGCGTAGAATAGATCTGCTTTCAGGGCAAAATGTTTCGTTCCATAAGGTATCAAACACCCCCCATAACATTTTATCTGAAAATTCACCGATAACAGATTGTGAACGTACCACTCGGAGTTGACAGGGGAATAACTGTTGGTTTGGAAGTGGTAAGTGACCGACGCAAAATGGTTTGGATTCATTTCCCTTGCCTTGGTATATTGGGTTGTGACTGGTCACCGTTATCTTGCACTTCAGGAAATACTCTTAGAGGACCGAGCGTGTCAAATGACCTTTGTTGAAACAGGCTTTCTCACTACCTTTAAGTGATGTGTTCCTGTACCACAGTAATAGAACTGAATACCATAATCCGGGCCCAAAACCGGGTCAGGCTTTAGCTAGCTAAATCTTCGGTTGTGAATATCCCATGTATATCCATCTGTTTTGGCTTGAGCAACACTGCAGTATTTTGCAAATCATAAATCTATTTTGTTGTTAGATTCTTGTACCGCGATTTGTTTGACACACAATCTAGATCCAGAGAAGAGTGGAATATAATATATCATTTGCTTGGATTCAAAAGACTGGGCGTACTCCTGAAAACTTTCTTGATAGGCGAAAGATTATCCAACGAGGAAATCCCGCAATCTAAATCTACATCACTGTGGCAGACTTGCCCTGAACAAATTTTGCCAGACGGAGCTCCGGAAAAAAATGGGAAGGGATAGCACGACATGAAGCAAGAGGAGAAAATTCTGTATACACGATTAGCATCGCGTATTGGAGTGTTTCATTGCCACTCAAACCACTTACCGTATACACAGCCAATACAGCCAACTGATTATACGAGCGACCGTTTTTCGGGACCAAAAGTTGAGCCTTCTGGTACCAGCTAAAAATAAGAAGTGTGGTCAAAAACCATACAAATAAAGCAACGTAATTAATATATATGTATGTATATATATATTCAATCTTTACAGATACGGCGCCAAGTAACCATGGGTGGACGAAAAAATATCGGTACCAAAGCGGGGAAAATAACACAGTCAACTTCGGGGAGTAACATTTTTGTTTACTGTCCGCCATTTTGAGTTCTTTTCGTTTTTGTTTATTTTTGGGATTGCAGACAAGAGAGGATGCATTCGCGCTACTGACTTCGGTTCGATGCCATATCCTGCAGTGTCTCCATCCAAAGACAATCTGAATCTTCGGGGCTCCAGCCAGGAAGCCGAGAAACCCCAACGGAAGCCAGATCCGAGGACAATCTCTTTAACCCTCTGCGCCACGTCATAGCCGGCCCACCTTGCTGTTTCTTCCAACCTGAATCGATGTCTGTGAATAGTGCACGGTATGGCAGACGGTGCTCAGGCATTTGTAGGACGCGCCCCAGCCACCTAAGACGATGCTGTGAAATTATTTTGCTCAAAGGAAGACTATTTGGTCCTAGCACACGTCGTCTGACTTCATCGTTATTCACGCATTGCTCCCACTATACGCGGGCGATGTTGCGCAGACAACGGTTGTCGAAGACTGATAGTCGCTGGACGTGATCTGCTTGGAGAGGCCAGGTCTCGCAGCCATAGAACAACACGGTGCATACCGTTGCGCAATACACACGCCCTTTCAGTGAAAGGGATATGTCGCGCCGGCGCCACAGATGCCGCAGATTAGCAATCGTTAATCTAGATTTGATCACGCGTTGAGAGATCTCCTCACCCACACCTCCGCCAGCTGTTATGCAATTCCCAAGGTAGAGGAAGCTTTCGAGTACTTCCAGAGTGTCATTACCCAACGAAAGTGTAGGAATGGGTTCCTACCAATCTTGCAACAACACTTTGCACTTTGAAGGTGCAAATGACATATCACAGCAAGTAACCTCAATTGCCACACGGTTCAACGACTCTTGAATCGTTGGTGTGTTGTCACTCAGTAAGGCAATATCATCGGCATACTCTAAGTCTGCGACTCTGTCCCCGGGAAGAAGCTCGACCACAGCGTTCGTTACGCTATGTAACGCGTTTTGTAGGACATCATCTACGGCAAAGTTGAAGAGAAACGGAGAGATGGAGCAATTCTATCGCACCCTACTGGTGACAGGAAATGAAGGTGAAAATTCACCTCAGGCCCTAACCTTCCCCGAGGTCTGGTGGCAGAGCGCTTTTAGGAGTGAGACATACTTCTCGAGTACTCCCTATCTCCGCAAACAAATCCATAGTGCGGGGCAATCGATAGAGTCGAAAGCCTCTCTGCTGTCTAAAAACACGACAGTGATTTTTTGTCTGTATGCGTGGCGATGTTCTAGTAGCTTGCGGAGGGTGAAGACTTGATATATGCAGCCACAGCGTGCACAAAACCCGGCCTGATCCTCGCGGATTTGCTTCTCACGGAATGGGCATAACTTGCGTAATAAAACGGAAGCCAGCAGCTTCGGAGCTATTGTAATCAGACTTATGTCCCTGTGGTTGGAACAGGTGTTGCGACAGCCCTTCTTGTAGATGGGTATGACAATCGATTCTCCCCATGTGGGGTAAATTTCCAGTTTCCCAGATCTTCGAGAACAGTCTCACAAATCCTCTTGAGTGTATCTTCACCATCTTCAAACAGGGCAGGTGGCAGGCCGTCTGATCCAGCTGCTTTGTGGCGTTTCAGGGCTTGGAGTTCCTTTCGGATCTCCGCTTCTGTGGGCGGTCCCGTGGATGGTGACCAGGGTGCACTCTCAAGAGAGCCGCTTGGGGCAGCCATCATAAGGGGGCTGGTTAAACTGCGATGTAAAGCGCTCCGCCAAGCGTTCCAATCACCGGTGAAGGCTGTTTATTAGCGTGTCGTCTAATTCATAGATTGTTTCACTAACGCAGTCTTTTGGAGCCTGTAGCACAGATGAGTTAGAATAGTTGCCGGGTGTTTCCACACCTAGCCACTGATTCCATCTCCTTTGCACGTAGCACTCACCAGGCTTCTCTTTCGTCTCTCAAACTCTTTGTGAGTTCACGCTTCAGGGAGGGGCGGTGTTCGTTGTACTCGCGGTCAGTCGGGATTGCCCAACACGCGTCGAGGAGTCTGAGAGTTGGAGGAGACCCAGTGATTTACAACTCGGCGGGTTAGGCCACAACTGTGTAAACCAGCTGAGTGCATTGCGTTTTGAATGGTTGTCCAGTGTTGAACTACGCTACTTGGTGGGGTAGTAGTTAGCCTTGCGGCCAACTCGTTTTGGTAATCGGTTAGTAAGGCCGGGTCAGAGAGCTTGACAACGTCGAGCTGTTTGCACCGCATATTTTTGCAGCCACCAAAACCCAGACAACTCGGCACAAATCAGTGCGAGGTCGGAGTCCAAGCAGGTAGACCAACACGAACAGCAGTCTTTCACACATCCTCCATCGGCACGTCTGTGCCGAAGAGGGTTTACGCCAGATGGCGAGGTGACGCTTAGAATGTCTGAAGTTCGTGCTAACGAGGAACAGACCGTGTTCTGAGCATATTCTAAGAAGTCTGTCCCCATTATCTGAACGACAACTATCAAGGCCNCAGACAGCCAACGAGTGCATTTAGGTCTCCGGCCAGGATCACGATATCCGTCTTAGGTGCTTTGAGAAGAAGCTCATGAAGGTTGTGATAGAAGGCATCCTTAACTGTATCCGGGTGGGAGCGTAGGCAGAAACCACGAAAAAGCATCGTTCATTTGGCTTCTCCTTTTTGACCTTACTCGAGTCTCACTGCGCATAGTCGGCTCTCTATCGGGATCCAATCCAATAGACCAGCCTCGGCCCTGGCGCTTAAGGCAATACCAACGTCTGTTTGACTAGACGCTGAATCGATAGGGTCCCCGGAAACGCGCAGTCGAAACGCTTCTTTTGGGTTAGGAGACGTTAATCGGATCACTGAGCTGGGATCCTGGATGCGTGTTTCCGAGAGGCAACACACATCAATCTCTAGACTTTCGAGAGTACGAGCCAAACCTGCTTGTTGTCCTATTCGCATTAGAGTTCTTACGTTGAATGAAACCAGTTTGAACACAGAGTGAGGTCGGAGTAATGGAACGGTTAATTCCGAGACAGATGCCAAGAAAGATAGCGGCGAGCTCTAACATGAACCTACGTCAGTGGAACCGTTCGGTGTTGGAC